TACGTATTAATACCTACGTATAAACATGAGACCAGGCTGAACATTTCACTGAACAAGACGTTTATATTGAGTGGTTTACAATTTAGACACAATGTTGGCCATTACTTTCCCGGTTTTATTCTGCCAACGACAGTAGTTTCAAACAAAGCCAAAGCAAGATACCGGACAACACTCAATAATGAATTCATATTTTTGAATCAGTCGAATTTGTTTTGAATCAGGTGAACGATTGATAAAACAGATACAAATAATGATAAGTGTAGTGACACAATCAGTGAAAAGTCGCAGCATGGTATTGGAACGCCACTCAGCCAATCAATAAAATATAATAAGTAACTAAGTAAGAAGATTAAACCATAACTCTGAACATTCTGAATACTAGAATACTAGATTCCAGATATCTTATGATGGTTAGATATAGTGATTATCTAGGGATTTGCAAAATGCATGTTTATGCATACTGTTGATTATATTCAATGCTTATGCATATTCTTGTGTTTGTTGCACAGACTGAGGAAGAATATCTTGAAATGATGGAAAGCGAAGATGTCAAAGAAATGAAGAAATTGCACATGGAGTACAGAGAATCTCTGGAGCTTGATTTGCTGAACACTATGAATGAAATCGCACAGAGCCGTAACGTAAGATTACAGATCGTTCTTTTACATGTATTTATTGCCATACATTTAAATGGTATAATAATAATAATAATGATAATAAAGTGCAACCACCCCTCCTTTTTTGGAAAACAGGTTCATAAACAAAAACAAGTGGTTTCAGAGGAGTTCACTTCAAGCACAAAACAAAGATTTCAAGAAAATGCATCAATATGCAGTTGCAAGGTGGAAAACAGAGAAAAAGTTTGGTACAATCAATGTCATTACAGGGCTTTTTGCCTATCAAGCCATGGGCTTATTGTGTAAAATGACATGAATCCTGTTCAAATTCATCTTGATCTTCTGCTCTTTCAAAATGCATTCATATGTCTTGTAAACAACATTTAATTAGAAAATATTTATCCGTGTCTGCTCAAGTTTATAAATGAAAGACAGTACATACTTCTTCAGTTAGCTGAGGAGATTTGATCAGAGTGGCTTCATCAGGTGCTGTAGATTTCCTGGTAACTGACAAGGTTACATACAGCAAATCCACATTATCCAGCAAGCAATGACATTCTCTGACATTCCTCCTCAACTTTGTGCTCCTTGCCTGTGAATGCTGTTAAAGTGGGACATTTAAACCTAATCAGCTTTATTCTTTATTCTTTCATTTAAAAAAAAAAAAAACGCATGTGATGATATAAAAGAGGCATGTCATACTGAACTTGGGTAAATGAAATACAATTGTGTATATTGTAAATGTGATATATTTCGACCTGGTATTTTATATTTTGAATCAAATTTGTAAAAAAAAAAATTAATGTGAACACAGCCTTGAGGTGGTCTCATTAACCAACAGTGCATTGCCATTGGCACACTGAATTTACCTGTCATAAAACAATCCCTAGACATGTAGCACATAAGATTAATATAATGTATATTTTTATTGGCGAACTGATCCAGTCACTATAACGATAAACAATGTATTTCAGAATTCACTAAGGAAGAAAGAGAGTCAGGAGAAAAGGAAGGACGGGTCAGTGGACAAGTTAATTGGAATTTAAAATAGTAAATTTCATAAGACAAAGTTGTATTATGTATTTTATAAATTACACTAAAAACTAAAATATGTTATACTCATCTTGGACCTTTTAGGACATTTCAGTGGTATGCATGTACAGGAATCAGATTGAAATGTTTCACAGTTATCTCATATTATCTCAAGTGCAATGAAGTGTCATCTGTATTTTTAAAGTAATACAAAATATTCTAAAAACCACATTAATGCAGCTACATAAAAAAGAAAAATACTGTTGTTGTCCTTGCAAAGAATTGCCAGTCAATATTTTGCTGCTAGTGGGGATTCTGTATATTTGTGAATTTGTAGAACCCATAAATGAATGTTTCAAAAAATGGTTTGTGTAGATCACAGTGCCTACCTCTGTATTTTTCTTTTCTACTGTCTATATCTACATGTACAATAATGTAGTTAAACTGTGTGCAGATCTTTTTTTTAACTCACCACCTGGAATGAAGAGATGTAATTTGATGTTACCTCACAATGTAATTTGTTTTGTTGTAATAAACTTAAACTGTGCCCAGTTTAACTGTAAAACATGATGCAGTTTACATTCATTGTAAAACATACAGAAAATGAATATTGTTACCTAGTTACTTAAGTAAAGTAGCCTATTGGAAAGAACACAATACATTATGTCTACCAACACAGCAACAATACAACTGTTTTTTTTTTAACTGAGAAATTCAGCTTGCTGATGTTCAGATGAACCTTTTTATTGAGAATGAATGTCTCAAAATGGCTGCGAAGAAGAAAGATATTTTACAAAGAGAACTGAGAAAAAAGACAAGTAAAAAACATTCCCTTCAAACAGTAAATAATGAAAAAAAGAGCAACACTTCAATTAGGTCCCATTAGTTAATGCATTAACTAACTTAACTAACAATAAACTGAGAATAACTATTTATTACAGTATTAATCTTTTTGTTAATGTTAATTAAAAATACAACTGTTCATTGTTAACTCATGTTACGTCCATTAAATACCATTAATAGCATGCAAACTTACACAGTAAAACACAGGTGAAAGTCTATGAAGTGGTGACAGGTAAACACACAGGTGTTCTTTAAGCGGTAGTTTGGATGTTTACGGTGGCCGAGAGAGTTCACTTCTTCTTCTTTGATGTTAATGGTGGTTGGCAAACCAAAAAAAAGAGAGAAAGAGAGAGAGAAACCTATATACTGTGCTCTGACCCTCTATCTTTAAGAAAATTTAGGAGAGTTCAAACGTCACTTCACTAAAATGAAACAAGCCTCGATATGGAGCTCCGTCTGAAAGTAGGCCTCCTGACATTCTCAACACAAGATTCGAAGCCTCGTATCAGGCGTAATATCACTAAATAATGTGCACATGTTCTACTGTTTCTGATATTTGACAATGGTCGCAAAAACCACTTGGATTCTTCTGCTAATGTGAAGTGTTCTATCCAAATCATGATGTCCTATTCTTAGCCTGGTCATGATCATCTCCTCTACTCTGTTTCTTCCCTTACTTTCCACAATGCCAACTTTATTCTTAATGGAGTATTTCTATCTTTAAATTCCTGGTCCTACTGTTGTTGTCACTCTGTAATATTCTTTTCCCATACAATGCTCTTGATATTGAAGATCAAATGTGTTTGAAGATCAAATGTCATTTTTCTGAAGTGTGATATATAACATAATTACGGTTATGGTTTAAGGTTAAGCATTGGTAATGATCAGAAAATGCACAACACGAGTGATTTCTTAGTTTCACTGCTGTTTATTTAATCAGAACTCTCAACAACACATTTTACATTCAAAACATTTTGTTTAATCAAACTTTATGTGCCATAAAACTGTTGGCATTATTTTCTCTTAAACTTAGCTTATATGTACATAATACTGCTAAAAGTATATGATGTGTATAACACAGCTAGACGAGCATTTCTCATGTGGGCATGCAAATCTTACACATACAAAAGTACATACAACAAAATATCAACACAAACATTTCTTACAAAAGTGGTTCAGTTTTAGTTTTTCTCAGTACAAAGCAGATTTACAAAGAATAATGCAAATCCCTGATGAAGCAGTCAAAAGCAACAGTGGACATGAAAAAACTCTCTAAAGACAATGAAGACACTTCATCATGTCATTGTAAATATATGTAAACATGTTAAACAACACCTCTCAGTTTTATTTCAAGAGCGTGATACAGTATTGTTCTACAAAACAATCATTTCAAAACTTTACAAGGGATAAAACTGAAGGAATTTAAAAAATATTTTTTTAAACAAAGTGCTACATTAAACTATTCCTGCTCATCAAGGTAGTGCCATAAGAAATAGATAAAATAAGCTGTATTTCAGAAATACAATATCAGTGCATGAAAGAGTTTCATACTGATTTAGCCATGTAGCTCAGCATTTAATGCATCAAAATGAACTTTTACTAAATTTATCAATGTTCAATAAAAACACTATTTTTTATTCTAGAAACACTCCTGGTCAATCACAGCAATTTCAGGAGTGACTCGCGCAACAATTTAAAAGACTCACTTCACTAATTGATGCATTTGTCACTTCTGCAACTTAGCAACTTGTACATGGACATTGGTCCTCTACATAAACAAAACTTTTCTTTAAATTGTGAATGGATTGTATAGAGAAAGTGAGCAAAGAGTGCTCCCTTTACAGCGTGACTGACTGAGAGCATTAATGCAAAATAAAAGAACCCCCCAAGAATGAATTACATGCAGATACAGTCAACATTCTCATGTAGAGCAGCCCAAATGTTCATATGTATAGTCATATGTATTGCTACATGACATCATCTGTGAAATTCATTGCACTTTGACCCCTTGGTGCCAAACATGTCCTGCTTTTAGAAATCGGTGTGTTTCTGGATGGTAAGCGTAACCAGAGTAGAAACCAGCAGAGCTGCATACACAAGCAGTCCAGCACTCATAATCCAGTAGATTACAGCTGGAAAAGGGGAAGATGGGAAGAAAGCACAATTTTTTAAAATGTTTTTTAAAACTCACTGCTTAAAAATTTTATAACGCTCTCAATGCATCCAGTTTTACTTACGAACTTGCGTCGTCTCATCTGTTTTGTCTTTATTTGTGCTGTCCAGGTTTTTCTTTGATTCTGTACTAGGATACTTTGATTCTGTAGAGGAT